AGGAGGTGTGGTATTGCATGAGGAACTCTGGAGTGGCAGAGAAGTACTGTATGTTAGACTGGTACAGGACATGTATGAGGACAGCATGCCAGTGGTTAGATGTGCTGTAGGAGTGACAGATAACTTCAAGATGGAGGAGGGAGTGCATCAAGGATCGGCTTTGAGCCCCTTCTTGTTTGCTCTGGTTATGGACCGACTAACGGATGAGGTCAGGCAGGAATCCCTGTGGACTATGATCTTTGCAGATGACATGATCTGTGGTGAGAACAGGGAACAGGTGGAAGAGAACTTGGAGAGGTGGAGGTATGCACTTGAAAGAAGAGGAATGAAAGCCATCCCTAATAAGACCGAGTACATGTGTGTGGATGAGAGGGAGGCTGGTGGAACAGTGAGGCTGCAAGGAGCAGAGGTTACAAAGGTGCAGGACTTGAAGTACTTAAGGTCGTCTGACCAGGAAAACAAAAATTGTGGAAAATCTAAGCAGGATGGAGAAAAGTTTCGGGACGGATTTGAGGCAAAAAGGTGTCAGCAAAGATCAAAAGAAAGGTTTGCAATACAGTGATGAGACCAGCTATGTTGCATGGTTTAGAGACAGTGCTGTTGGCAGAAAGATGAGACAGAACTGGAAGTATCAGAAATGAAGATGTTGAGGTTCTCCTTAGGAGTGACAAGGATGGATAAGATTAGGAATGAGATCATCAGAGTCACAACCAGTGGTGTAGTCTACATGATATGCTGGTATATGCCATATACCCTCTAGAACCCGTATACCCACTTAAAAGTGCCCAGTGATACATGACATATCGCACATGTGTCATTATATTGAAACAGCTGGGCGAAATGCGTCGTAAACACCCTCAGAGAACAGCGGTGTCCCTCTTCTTTCTGGGGTGTGTGTGTGTCTGTTTGTATTCTGCCAGGCGCGTGTGCCACTGCCATACACTCTATGCGAAGCTAGCGGGAGTGACGCAGAGCATCATCGGATCAAGGGCAAGGGGGTTTTCAGAATAAAAGTTTAGACCGTATATTTATATTTTGATGCTACCAAAAGTATTAGTAACGTTTGAAGCCACCAGTTTTGAAGTTTTGAGAGCAATAAACAGCAAAACCCTTATTAAACAATGATTCTTGGTCACATTACTTTACATAAAAATAAAAAAAAATCACTTCATTTAAAACATTCATATTTATATGAGCCACTTAAAGCCTAAAGAAGTTTCATATTTTGTCCAATTTACTTTGAACTCAAAAGAAAATAACTCATAATAATAAATATGATAATGTGTGTGTGTGTGTGTGTGTGTGTGTGTATGTAACATGTATCCATCCATCCATCCATCCATTGATCCATCCATCCATCCATTATCTGCCGCTTCCTAGGGAGGTGCTTCGGAGAAATCAAAATAAATTGACCATTGCATTTTACTAACCAGTGCATTTTGGTTTCTAAGCACACAGTATACCCACTATAAAAATGTAGACTACACCACTGGGTACAGCACAGGTTGAACAAGTGGGAGATAAAGTTAGAGAGGTCAGACTGAGATGGTTTGGACATGTCCAGAGGAGGGACAGTGGGTACATTGGAAGATATATGGACGTTAGAGAGGACAGAGGATGCAGAGGACAGAGGATGCAGAGGACAGAGAGAGATGGAGGAGCATGATTCCCTGTGGTGACCCCTAAAGAGGGAAAAACTTAAAGATTTATTTTATTTCCTGAAACACACTGAGATATGCGTCTCTTTTCACTCTGTCACTACAGTTATTAAAATTAATTGTTTTTGTAAATAAATCCCTTTTTTATCTTTGTTAAAGCTCCAGGTCAGAGTAATAAGCTCCATTGTTGTAAACCATCCGTTCATATTGTCTCTTTATTAAATCAGCACATTAGCTTGTTTCTGCACAGCATGTTCCCTCCGTTGAGCACTAATCATACAGCTATTCACATCTCCAAGATTTTACATATACTTTATCATGCAATTAGCTTCTGTCTGTCAACTTTCACTCTCTGTGACATGCTACATACACGCGAGGTTGTCTTTCTGCTTTTATGCTCGAGATGCTCCTCTGAATCTGAACTGAAGGCGAAAACGTAATCACATCTCAGCATGCTGCTTACAGCTTCTGACAGACAAAATTGTGAGCTGCTATTTCAGTGGAACAAATTTCAGTCTGTGACATGTCCTCCCTGAGGTTAAGGCTGTTATATATGACTTGAAAGGGAAAAAACTTGATTTAGTGTTTCATTTTCTATATATAATAAAAAAAGGAACTCTACAGGATGTTGAGCTTGGTCGGCTGTGAAAAGGCAGGCTGAGAAAACTGAAAGCTGTCTGATAAATTAAACATATGCCATTTTATTTTCTTTGTCATATAAAAACACATACGCAGCCAGAACAGCTTAGTCCCTCATCAGGTGTACACAATCATACACTGACGGAGTGTAGCAAGTGATACATTATCTCATATGTGGACATGAAACGAAGGGAGAGACGTTGTCTTCAGGATTTTTGTCACGTTCTTGTTTGTGAAAGTCGGCCATGTTTTTCTCTTTGAAAATGAATGTAGTTCTCTTCACATCCTTCAAACCCTTTGTGCTGTTTACAACCTTTTGCTGCTCATTTCAGCTTTTATTCTGTCTGCTTTCTTCAGATTATTTCTACTGTTTTTGTCTTCCTTCATCTCCGTACATCCATTATCTTTACCTGCTTCTTCCTTTTCTGGTCGTGGAGGTCACTGGTGCCCATGTCCAGCTATCACTGTGCGAGAGGCGGGGGACACCCTGGACAGGTTTCCAGTCCATCACAGGGACACATAGAGACAAACGAGAAAAAACAACTGTTCACTCTCTCACTCACACCTAGGGACAATTAGAGTTACTAATCAGCCTAACATGTAGGGGAGTGGTGGCAAACAGGTTAGAGAAGGTGAGCCTGTGATTGGAAGAACGCCGGTTCAACTCCCGGTACTGACAACATCAAAATGTGGATGGGAAAGGGGAAGTACCCACACCTGCCTCCACCCTCATTTGCCCAACTTTGAACAAGGCCCTTAACCCCCACCATCTGCTCCCCTGGGTGCCGTAGACAGCAGCTCTCTGCTCCACACAGAAGGATGTGGTAGCTCAGTGGTCTGTGGTTGTGTCAGGAAGGACATCCGGCGTAAAAATAACTGCCAAGTCTTCGTGCGACTTAGTTCGCTGTGGTGACTCCTGAAGAAAGAAGAAGAAAAAAAAAAACACAATCAGCCTAACATGTATGTTTTTGGTCAGTGGGAGGAAACCAGAGTACCTGGAGAAAACCCACGCAGCACGGAGAGAACAGGCAAACTCCACCCAGAAAGGTCAAGGGCCGGGATTTGAACTGTCGACCTTCTTGCTGAAAGGCAGCATCTCTACCAGTGGAGCCACCATGCTGCCCTTACTTGAACTCCTTTTAGCTTTTTTCTTCTTATTTTAGCTTTTTTTTCCCTCTTCTTTTAGCTTCTTTCTTCTAATTTCAGCTTTTTTGGTGCTTATGTCAGCTATCGGTTTAGCTACTTTCTGCTAATTTGAGTTTCTTTCAGCTAATTACATTATTTTTTTCTGCTTTATTAGCTGTATTTCAGCTATTTTTCAGCTAATGTCATCTTTTTCACTACTTTTTAGCTAATTTCAGCCTTTTGTGCATTATACTTTCAGTACATTTTCAGCTAATGTTAAGCTTGTTTCTTCTAATCTCAGCTTTTTATTTCTTTTTCTGAACCACGACGGCCTTGGTTGTCCTCAGGCTGTTTCTGTGAGTATCAAGTTGGCCATCTGACCTAAAACATTTGATTGATGTACATACTGATTGTTTTGGGTGGGTGTGTTTTGCACTTGTTAAAAGTCTACTTTTGAGATTCCAACAGGAGGTTGGCTTGAAACAGCAGTGAAGGCTGCGTATGGGACAGATTGGTTGGCAGGCTGCAGACTGACGAAGTCCTCTGGATGGGGGATGAAATGTTTCTCACTTAAAGAAACTGGTCCAGATGACACAATTAACTTTTTTCTTGTCTACTTGGATAATTGAGCCTACAAACCTTTTTCTTTATTACTTTTTTCCTTCTAATTCACATTTTTTACACTCCTTTCATTTGTTTTTCTTGCTAATTTCAGGATGCTTCATCTACTTACAACTACTATTTTGATAAACACAAAGTTTGTTTTCTCAGTCATCCAGGTATATAACAACAAAAAAGGTTGAATCATGTCATCTGGACTTCGTTTTTTT